TCGAGTAATCCAGGTACGAAAAACATCATTTTCTTACTGTTGCCCACCAGGACAACTAAAGGGTACAGTGATTCTTTCATCAATTAAAAGCGCTTTTTCCTTTAGTACTTGTTACCTTTCACACTGTAGAGGTGTTACTCTTTACTCGCTGTAACTGACAACTCAGATTTAAGAACAGATTTTAATTTTTGCTGGCGAATTCTACAAATCTGGGGACCAGATTTTATACACACTCTAACTATGTAGACTAAAATCAGGGACATTTTCTTTATTTTCAGACGTTAGTACAAAGCATTGCTTTCTAGGACTAAATGATGAACAGAGGAACATAGTCCATGAAACTCTAGCACGACAAATACAAGTGTACCTCCAGTATCGCCAAATTTCACCCGAAGAAGGAGTGTCTGGATTAACTGAATACATAAAGAAGGCGTACAACTTGGCCTTGGAATCTGTGGGTCAAGGATCTCTAAAAATAACGTTTCGGTGCCCATCTCTGGAAAGCCTTGAACGTTTGTGGACGGACTTTCAGTTAGGCCACCTAAACAGCATTGCTGAGAGGTATCTTGTAACCGAGGACATGAAGAAGAAACTCAACTTGGAGAATGTCAAGTTGAAGACTACTATCGAGGAACAGAACTACCGGATTTGCAAAAAGATTTTAACAGAAAACTTAAGTAAATCTGGTAAGCTGTTTGTAAGAAATTGACTGGAGTTTACACTACAACAATTCAAACCTAAATCGGATCGGAAAATAATTAAATCAATAAGGTTTGCTCAGTGTGGGCGAATTCGTCAGGTTATACCCTCTCTACTGAAAACTCTGATTAATTGGCTCTTTGTTTCTGGTGACATTGATAATGTTGCGCAGCAGGTAACGTAGGTCAAATGAGACAGAGTTTAGTGACAGGTACACATTAGGGCCATTTATACGAGGAAAAATAAGACGCGTCTTAAATAAGACGGGAACTGTACCTTTTATACGAGCATGTCTTATCTAAGACGAGAACAGCTCGTATAAATGGTTCGCGTCTTATTTCTGTTCTTGACTAGTTTTCATGTGAATGTTGCTCGTAGCAACGGCAATCCAACGTGGCGCGCCAAAAATTTTGCGTACGCATGATACGCAAGCGCAGAATACATTCTGCGCTTCCAGTAAATATGCTTCAAAAAGAGCAGAATCGATTCTGCGCAGAATAGATTCTTGTGCTGTTAAGGGCTGTTCTAAAATAAGCCGCGTCTTATTTTAGACGAAATGTGCCGTTTATACGGAAAGTTCGCGTCTTATTTTTCCTCGTATAAATGGCCCTATTGTGGGGCATGTCTTTAACATGAGGGCAAAAGAGAATCTTGCCAGCTCGCGATCGCTTTCCTGAAACAGTTTGCACTAAATAGACAGATATAGGTATGTTTTAAAATTTAAAACATTAATCGAAATACAATTAGCATTCGACATAACAGAAATAAAATCGTTATGTTTAAGGTCAGCAAGTAAAAAGCGTGTCCGCCAGATAGGTGTATCCAAGTTGAGGTTTCACGATTCATGTACAGTACAGGGATTTCATCTGCTGTGAGTTCTTTATGGTGAGTGCATTAACGACAGGTGAAGTTAATGCATATTCGTTTCTTTCTATGTCAACAGTGTTACCGGTCAGCAATGACTTCTCATCTTCAACTGATTCAGATCAGAAAACACCATCACTACCGATTGACACAAGCCCAGAAGTCTCGCCGGTAGGCTGTTTTGTACCTTCGGTTAAAAATAGAGAAAACTTAAGATTAGTCAGAAAAAGAAATCGAGCTGTTATATGGGTTGCAATGTGCATTTTAATGTCCACTCAATTCTGCAGAATAATTCCCTCAGTTAATTAAAAGTATGAGAGTTTTTAAACCCAGTTCCATTAGACAACCTCAAAAAGGAAGAGTACCTTGCCTGTTGGTAGCATTTAATTATTTGGTATTGTACGATGATGTACAATGACATGATTTAAGTGAAAGTCGTTGGGTTGGTATACTTCGTTACATCTTCCTAGAAACTTCCAACATTAGCAAGGTGATGTTTTCTCAGATCAGAAGTTTTTACAGGTAAAGCTTTGTCTGTTTGACTTGAATTTATCGATGAAACCGGTGAAAAAGTTTTTTGTTTACAAATGCAAATTAAGTCTTGCTTTACTTTGTTTAGCTGGCAAGGTTCAAACATAACCTTAAAACTAGATTTAATAGTTTTTTTACAGAATGGTTTTAAATACAACAAGAATTTGAAGAAATTTTCCCGTAAGAGCTAAAAAAATCCTTCAAAAGTTTTATTTGCGGCAAGAAAACGCGACGGCCACCAGTTCGGTCATTGTGCGCCAAAACTGTAATCTTTGGCAACAGTAAATGAGTTTAAAATAATCATTTTTGTGCTCAATTATCTCACTGTTTCGAGTATATACTACAACAATTATTCACCTCAGTGTCGGTGGCTAGTGGTGGATATCCACCACTAGCCACCTCTACTTCGGTGAATAATTGTTATTTACAGGGATGCCCCTAGGGAACTTTGCTCAGTATTAAGTCAATTTCCAGTACTGATACAGTGACGGACAGTAAAGTTATTAGAATTGAGAAGCATTTACAGGCGAACCAGTCCTGACTGAGATTGGGGAAAAGCCGAAATAATGAAACCCAGAAGAGAGGCTTACCTGCGGAGCTCTACGCGTGCGCAAAGCGCGCGCGAGCGGAGCCCCATACCTAAGAAAATTTGGTAATCCATCCATCCGAGAAATTTTGGTAATCAGGTGACCGTACGACCGACCGTCCATTCGCCCGCACCACAGGCATACCATTGTAAAATAACTCAATAGTCCATTTTACAGTTGCAGGTGGAAACGAGGCTGGAGTTGACCTTGTTTTGATACAACCCTTCCTGCTTTGTTATGTAAATCATGTCGTTTCACATAACGTCACGGAAGCCATATTGGTGTCCCAAAACAATGAAACGACGGCCATGTTGGTGTCCTAAACCATTCCTCTGGGAGTTGTACTCTTTTGTTACGCAAACGCTTTCTTTTATTCCAACAAATTTGCATAGATGCTGGCCACGTGAGTGAAAACACTCTATTATTTAAGCATAATTTCCATACGAAAAGGAAGGAGGATTGTATCAAAACAAGGTCAACCTTAGCCTCACATTCATTCAACAGGTATGACACCACAGGTAAGTCGAGGTGTTTTGGGCGGGAAATCGCATGGCCACCGGGACTTTTAGAGAAAACACAGCAACAAAGTCGAGTCTTTTTCGAGGTTTTTAGATGTCTACACTCACGTGGATAACAGAGAAAGAGCTGGAGCGAGAGATGAAAAACAAAGGAGACGAATTTCGTTGGAAAAAAACATGAAAATTTCATAGCGGCGGTGAGAAAATGAGAAAGACTTGTAGCCAGCAAGGTGAAAATGAGTGGCGGTGCAAAATATAAAAACGAACAAAATGAACACTAGCAACAAAATTTTTGGTAAGTACATACGACAATTCCTCCATAAAAAAAATTATGTGTAACTAGAAAGTTTCACGTTTTACTCGTGCAAAACGGCATTACAGTCTTGCGAAACAACGGCGAAGGATTGTACAAAAAAGTGTGCTGCACGTGCAATTTTTTTTTTTTGCTAATTAGATCTAATGATTTTGTTGCCGTTCGCATTGCCGTCGCCGTTTAGCATTACACCATTTTATTTTTTTTGTTTATAAGTAATTAGTTAACGAGAGCTCCGCCTTTAGCCCTGGCTAAATCTATATATTAGGAGGGGTTTTCTTCAGTGTTGCCGGTCTTCGTTGTAGCTTTTTCCTACTCGCCTTCCTTACCCCTGAACAAAAAAACAGAGAAGAGGCTTGTTAGATGCAACAATTTTACCTTTGAAATTCCCCAAAATTTGATCTCGTCAAAACTTTGTAGTTTATAGATTTAGCCAGGGCTAAAAGCGAAGCTCTGGTTAAAAATACTTGTAAACAAAAAAAAATTAAATCGTGTAATTCTAAGGGCAATGAAAATGGTATCAAGATCAATAGATCTAATTAGCAAAAAAACAAATTGCACGTGCAGCACACTTTTTTTTCTAATTAGCAAAAAAACAAATTTGCACGTGCAGCACGCTTTTTGTCTTTCTTTTCCGTTGTTTTGCACAACTACAACGCTATTTTGTAGGACTAAAACGTCAAACTTTCTGGTTACACATTATTTTTATGGAGGAATTGTCGTATGTGCTTACCCAATATTTTGTCTCCTGTGTTCATGTTCGCTTTTATTTTTCACTGCCGCTTATTTTCACCTTACTGGCCGCTAGCATTTCTCATTGTCTCACAGCGGCTTTGAATTTTCATGCTTTTCTTCCTACAAAATTCGTCTCTTTTGTTTTTAATCACTCGTTCTAGCTCTTTCTCTCAAATGACGGCGAAAAAGACACGACTTTGTTGTTGTTTTTTCTTTCTAAAAGTCCTGGCGGCCATGCGAATTCTTTCCAAATAAAACCTTGAGTTGCATTTGGGTTGCCATACCTGTTGATTGAATTATTTGACATTGGTATGCCTGTGGTGCGGACGGGCGGTCGGTCGGTGTACGGTCACGTGATTACCAAATTTTCTCGGATGGGTAGTCTACCACATTTCTTTACCAATGGTGCTCCGCTATAAAATGCCATCTCGACCATCCCGACCACTGCTTTTCGCCCCATCCAGGCTCCACCCTCTATTTTCAGGACTACATACCACTGATTAAAATAGTGCAGGCTCATAAATGCGGAAGTAGCAAAAGAACGAAATAATGATGATAATAATAATAATAATAATAACATGTTTAAAGAGGATGACCATGGAAATTGGAGGAGAATTAGAGCTTGGGGGTCTAATACTGCAACTCAGTTCACGCAACCGTCGTTTGGTTTGAGATTTCGGAGCGTTGGATTTCGTTAAACGCTTTACGCAACTTTTTAGTCAGGCTAGGATAGGGAAGTCCAGATCGAAAGTAATGGTTAAGTTAGATATCCCGCTAGAATTTTGTACTCAAGCTGGAGAGAAGGGCGGATATGTTGCAAAAGGATTTAGTGATCTTCATTTATGTCCTTTCTTTATCAAGGGTACCTGCAAATTCGAATTTCAGTGCAAAAGATCTCACGATTATGGTGACGAACATACAGTTGGTGTTCTAAATCACTTCCGCCTCGGTTTCTTAACTAAGCATCCTTCACATTCCCTTTTACAGAGGATTTTCAAAATGATCGTAGATGAAAGTGAACTACAACGAGCTGCTGCCAAAAGATCTGTTCCAGAGATTTGTAAATTCTATAACAAAGCGACCTGTAAAAAAGGGGACAATTGTCATTGCTTGCACGTGTGTGAACGTTTCATTGATGGAGATTGTAAGTTTGGCGAAGGCTGTAAAAGGGAGCATGATTTCTTTGACCCTCACAACAAAAATGTGCTTGAAGAATATGACTTGGATGGAATCAGTGAGCTGAAAGTGCTTCAGCGATTGAAAGGCAGGGAAAGAAAGCGTACAGTCAGTGGAAGCTCTGATGTTGAAAAGCCTGATAAAGTATTTCCCAAAGCAGTAACTCCTGTTGTCCCAGTTCCCACTTCCAAAGCGAAGGATGAAAAGGAAAAGGACACTGAAATTTGTGGATTTAATCTGTGGGGCAGGTGTAACTATGGCAACAACTGTATCCATCATCACACAGAGCTACCTTACTTGTGGGAACTTTCTGTACATGGCGAAAAGTGGGAAAGCTTTTCAAGTGATCTAAATACAATGTTAGAGCAAACCTACTGTGATGTTAAAAAAAGCAGCTACACAGTAATGATCAGAGGAATTCTTCATCGTGTTAAGTTTGATAGTATGACTGCTGAACCGGTTTTATCAGATGATGGTAAGTATCTCTTATTTGAAAGTTACAAACAATATTATATTTGACAGCTGAGATGTACTGCCATATATGGGCTGTGTAGGATGTAGTTTTCTTACGGTAGTTTAGTCTGGGATATAGTAGGGATTTCCTTTCCTAAAGTACCCCACCCGGGGTGTGAAGAATGTACATAGTGTGAGAGGTTTGAACCCAGGAGTCATTTCATAAGTAGGTTGAGTTTGATCGTCCGGGTGAACGTAGTCCTGAATAGGACTGTTGTTGTTGACAGTGACTGACGTTTCGACAACCTGTGCGGTAGTCATCTTCAGAGTCAGCGTGAGTTGTATCACGTCAGTTGATGGTATTATACTCTGGTTATTGATGTGATTGGTCAATTACGTCGCGATGCTATTGGTCGTCTGTCAGTTAAGCCGTGATGTTATTGGCTATGAGTCTTACGAGAGATTACGAGTCTTCATAACAGGTTGTCGAAACGTCAGTCACTGTCAACAACAACAGTCCCATTCAGGACTACGTTCACCCGGACGATCAAACTCAACCTAGTTTTGAAATGTACCTAGTGTTTTATAGATGGTTTTCATAGTGATGTCATCAAATTGTTAAGTCAAAATAGGGAGGTTTTACAAATTCTTATTTACACTAGGTTGAAGATAAACAAAAATAAATCTTTGCATATGTTTCCACTCCCGTAGCATGTTTCATTTCGAAAACACAGCAGTTTGAAGTTCCGAGTTTTTAAGGTGCGTGGCACCAAAATAGGAATGCTGTGTCGTTGAAAAAAAGTCTCTCCTCTTGATTTTCAGCAGTATAACCTTTTCAAGTACTGGAAGATATGTTTATGTGCATGTATGCTAGTTCTCGAGTGAAAAGAAAGAGTTTTTATAGAAAAAGTGAACTCGAGATGTTTTTGTTGATTTCCGGCGGCCATATTGGTGCACCAAAACGGAACACCAATATGGCGTCTCCATATAAAGCTCTACAAAAGTGCGTGAAACGTTTCGGCAAATAACTCAGAAACTGTGGGCCGCAAAGACCTGAAACTTGGAAAAATTGTTTGTATATTAGTCTTTTATAACATTTCATTTTCGTGGCGTCTTCCACTGGACGGTTTCCAATTTATTTTTTTGTTGCGTGACAGTGAAAAGGATCTATAAAGACAAAATCTGACATGCAAACTGGGCTCAAAGAGTTCACAGGGAAGAGGGATTTTTTAAAGTACAGTATTAAACTAGTATAGGTAGTAGCAGTAGCGGTAGAAGTAACTGGATTCGAAAGCAGTAGTAACTAGTAGTGAAAAAATATGTTCCGGGGGGGCACTCCTGGGAATTCTTGGTGGGGGTGTGCCGCCCGGTCCTCCAAATCCTGACCCGATTTCAGACCAAAAAATGTAATATTTCACACCCGTTTTCAGATCAGACCTCTAAAATCCATACCCGTTTTCAGACCTGGCCTTTAGGCAGAAATTATGTTATCATTACTTAGCCGTTAGAGCCCAAACAAAAAATTATTCGAATCCATTTTGAATTCGCATATTTCCCTTTCTTGCTTACTCATCTGGAATTGAAACGATAAATACGTTCATACACCCCGTAGTTCCTTCGAAAACCATACCCGATTCCGGACCAAAATGGACAAAGTGTATACCGTTTTCAGACCAAAACAGCGCAAAAACCCTACCTGATGGGGCGGCACATGCCTATATGGCTTATATAAGGAGTACCCCCCCCCGGATTATTTTTAGGCAGCTGCAACTTAAAAGTGAACGCTTAGAAGAGCTCTAAGGGAACAGAGTGTTGCCCCATGAAAGGGAATTCAGGACATTCTTGAATTCTGGGTTCAACGCTGTGGATTTCGGATTCCAGGTACTGGATTGCAGTCTTTGTCAGTGGGACTTGGATTCTGGGTCGAGTTGTTCAAAGCTGGGTTAAGATAACCCAGTGTTAGTGCGTGATCTGAATTCAGATTTGAAAGCTTAAAGAGCATTTCCGTTTTAATTCTTTTTGTCTACAAGTTGATGATTGGAAGCTCTAAAAATAAAAGAGAAAATTATCCAAGAAAATGCTTTTCAACGTAAGAAAGAGAAACCCGGGTTACATTTAACCCCGGGTTAAGCGCTAATTGGCCTTCGAACAACTGGGCCCCGGATTCCAAATCTTTAGAGGGATTCCGGATTCCATGAGCTGTATTCTGGATTCCAAATTCCAGGATTCCAGATTCCATAAGCAAAATTTTCCCGGATTCCGGTTACCGGATTCCCTTACATGGGGCGAAGAGGGGTCGACAGAACAAAAAATAGTGAAGATGTGTTATTCCTTGCTCTAATCAGCTGTGAATTACAAGTCTCCCAAGATTCGACGACTGTCCACTGTATCATCTGTGGTTGCCGCAGCAGGCCACGTGTACAGCACTAGGTGGCATTGGTACTGGCAAGATAAAAATAACAAGTGGCAGTCATATGACACTCCAACTGATGGACATGCTGTTAACACCACTAGTAGCCAATGTCTTGAGAGGGAATACATGGCAGGTAAGAAATCCCCCTTTCCTCTAATTTATTATAATCAGTTCCTTTCTCATATATATTTCAAACCTTTTGTCCTTTTTGGGGATAATTTCAGCATGCCATGCCATAGATAATGGATGAATGTTTGTTTTCTGATCCTACTCAAATATCCACAGCTGAGATACAATTAAAAATGCATACCTTACTAACATTGTTTTCTTGTTGAAGTTCTGCACTTTTATTTAGTTTATTATACATTCAACTCACTATCTTTTTTCTGATTGGCCGAAAGCGTACAGTGAATGTTTGAAATCAGCGCCTTGGATGTCATCTTGCTGCAGATTATACAATAATCATGTCAAGGACACTCAAGGTCACGGGTAATGATTTCATGTATGACCGAGGAGCATGATTTCTAAGGGTAATCATGTCAAGTTCGTGCGCTTTGTGTTGCTTGCCGTCAGTGAAGAAGCAAAAACATGACTTCAAGGTTTGCTTCGTTGACGGCCGAGCAGACATCGAAAACATAGTTGAAGACTGGGACTCACAAAACACAAAAAGGTTGACGAAGGTGGCAAAGAAGCTGTTTGCTGATTACGTGAAAGAGAAAAAAAACTGAGGGAACCTGTGGGAAAGAAAGAGTTGGCACAAACTTTGAAAACATTTTATGTCGAAGCGAGAAAGAAAGAATTCGTTCAATGTATAATAAAACAATAACCCTTACCGAGACCTTGATTATTCTGGATATCAGAAAAACCTCATCCAATAATTGTTTATTGAAAGTGGCCCATGGGGAGACACCTGGAAGGTCCATCATCCCCCTCTGAAAACAAACCAAAGACCACAGGACCAAAAAAAAGATTCTTGTCCAGCCTTTTTCCCACTAGGCTTAGTCTCAGGAGAATCCTGGGAGCATTGGGACAACCACAGCTAGAAACTGAAGAGCCCGTCTCCACCATCCCCATTCTCATGTCAAGGTCTAAAATAATAAGAGGGCCCCCAGTTACCTTTTAAAGTTCTGGATCTGCAGTCACCTCTTATCGGCAACTAAAAACAATTTCTTTCTTTCTTTGTTTATCTTTAATGTATGTCTTTCCTTCAGAAATGGAAAGACCAAGAGAACAATTTAATTCGTTTCACCTTTTCTTCTTCGTAGATAAGGATTGTCATTCCTTTAGTGCCTCTCATCACCACTTCACTCTGCACTTCAAAGGATGGTACCAACAAAATGATGTTCATAAAACAAAAAGGCCTGTTAGAAGGAGGCCTGCTGACTTTGTGACCAAACAGAATATGAAAGATATTGCTCAGAGGTACTGTACATTAAAGCTGAAAAACTAAAACTGTTTATTTATACCATACTGTTTTTAAAAGCTTTCGCCCCGTGCCCCGGTAATCCGAGGCAGTTTTGGATTCTGGATTCCTTGTCAATGGAACTTGGATTCCAGACCCTTTCACGGGGTTTTTCAACTTTGGACATGAACCAATTAGGGAAAATCTGTCGAAACTACTGGAAAAAGCGCCTCAAAATTAGTAAACTTGCCAAGTTGGAAAGTGGGAAAGTGATATATCTCCGCACAGAAAACTTACACAGCACCAACTTACCCCCCATCATACAAAGGCCTGTAAATTTTCGCAAATTTGCGGAACCATATCTTCCCACGCTCAAGACGTATCACCCTAAAACTTGGCAAGTTTACTAATTTTATTGCGCTCTTTCTAGTGCTGTCGACGGATTTTCCCAAACTTATCCATGTAAATCATGGCAGTCAGAGATCGCCGATACATCTTCACTAATCGCGCGGTATAGAATACAACGCCACTACGATCATGTGCGATCGTGATTTTAACACCTGGATCGTAGCCCTGATACTGAGATGACGGATTTAACTTTACTAAATCGCGATCGCGATCACTAGGCTTTGATAACTTAAAATGTCATTGCGATCGCGCCTCGGTCGTAATACCCTGCGAGCAGAGGTTTCTCTTTTCCTTTTTCATCCCCTTTTTAGCCTTTTACACCACTGTGGAGCCTGGTCACTGGCTAGCTTCTCTCTTGCATGGCTTTTAGCGTTTACGAAATCATT